GTGTTTTGCATGTATGTATGTAAGTGTACCATATGCATGCTTGGTGCCTGTGGAGGCCAGAAGAGGGCGTGGGATCCACTGGAACTGGAGTTAAGGATGAGTGTTGGCTGTCATGCAGGTGCTGAGAACTGAACCAAGGTCCTTTGGAAGAGCTGAACCATCTCTCCAACCCTTTTTTTTGGTCCTTTTGAGACAGGGTCTTCCTGTAGCCCCATTTGGCCTGGCACTCATTATGTAGACCAGGCTGACCTTGATCTCACAGAGAATCACCTGCCTCTGCCTCCTAAGTGCTAGGACTAAAGGTATGTGCCACCATGCCCAGTAACATTTTTAAAATTTATTTTTATGTGCATTTGCCTTCCTGTATGTATGTGCACCACATTTATGTAGTGCTCAAGGAGGCCAAGAGGGTGACAGATCCCTTGGAACTGGAGTTACAGGTAGTTGTTAGCTGCCATGTGGGTCTTCTGCAAGAGCAGCCAGTGCTCTTAACTGCTGAGCCATTTCTCCCGCCCTCAGATACAACATTTTGTGGTTCCTGCTGTTGCTTGAGACAGGGCTGTGTAGCCCAGGCTAGCATCCAACTTGCTGTTCCCTTGCTCCAGTCTCCTGAGTGCTGGGATTACAGGTATGGGCCATGATGCCCAGCTAGATACAGTTCTTTGGAAGCTGCTTCTTGCTGCCCAGTAGTCCAACTCTCTTGTGTTTTATTCAACTGGCTGTTATTTGGTGAAAGTTAAGTAACTCCCTGTTTCCTGTGATAAGCAGTTCTGGGGTGTGTGTGTGTGTGTGTGTGTGTGTGTGTGTGTGTGTGTTCTGGCTGGTTGGAGAGGCTCATTCCTGCTGTCCAAAGTTCCTGCCAAGCTGGGCATGGTGGCTCATGTCTGTAATCCCATCACTAGGAAGGCTGAGGCAAGAGAATGACCATGAGTTTGAGGCCAATATGGGCTAACAGAGTAAGACCTTGTCTCAAAAAACTTTAAAGAAAAAGGCCTGGCCGGGCATGATGGCATACACCTTTAGTCCCAGCACTCAGGAGGCAGAGGCAAGCAGATCTCTGTGAGTTCAAGGCCAGCCTGGTCTACATAGTGAGTTCCAGGACAGCTGGGGCTACAGGGAGACCCTGTCTCAAAAAGTCCAAAAAAAAAAAAAAAAAAAAAAAAGGTTCTGCAAGATGACTCCCCAGCATATGGTGTGTGCGCTAGTGGAGCATTCCTTTCTGTGCTTTTTGGTCCCCCATGACTGCCTATCCCAGCATCTATCTACACTGGTTGCACTGGGCAGGATCCCAAATGGCAGGAGAGAAATCACCTTAGGTGTTCCAGGCCTCTGTATCCCAACCACTGGCCTGGCTGTAAATGATCTGTCCATCCCTAGACAGGATCCATGAAGCCAGTTGACACAAGGAGCCTCAGCCCCTCGCCAAATCCCATCCTTGGGTGAGAAGCCATAAGGGTTCTAAGCATTGCACAAATTCACAAAAGTAACAGAGGCCCAGGCAGGCCAGCTCCGATTCAGAGATAAACTAATTTTTTTTTTTTTAAGGGCCAGCAAGATGGCTCAGAGGTAAAGCACTTGCTGTATAAGCTTGATGACCTGAGTCCAATCCCTGCAACCCATGTAAAGGTGGAAGGAGAGAACCAACTCCACGGAGTTGTCCTCTGACCTCCACATGGGCACTGTGACATGTGCATACCTGGACATTATACATAATGATATATGTTATATATATATTTGGTCTTTTTCAGACAGGGTCTCCCTGTAGCCCCAGCTGGCCTGGAACTCAATCTGTAGACCAGGCTGGCCTTGAACTCACAGAGATCCACCTGCCTCTGCCTCCTGAGTGCTGGAACTAAAGGCGTGTGCCAATAAATATTTTTTTAAAGCAGGGAATGGTGTCACAGGCCTGTAATCCTAGCAGTTATCAGGAGGATCAGGAGTTCAAGGTCATCCTCCTCTACATAGTGAGTCAAGGCCAACCTGGGCTACATGAGACCCTGCCTCAAAACAAAACAAAACAGGACATAGGGGTAACACCTGTAATCCCAGCACTCAGGATACTGAGGCAAGAATATTCCTTGGAGTCTGAGGCCAGCCTGGACTACTTAGGAAGACTGTCTCAGAACCAAACCAAAACCAACCTCCCTCCCCCCCCAAAAAACCCCAAGGAACAGATCCTCAAATGACCTTAAGAGTTAAATTGGTTTATCTGGGCCAACTGCATGGCCTTAAACACCCAAAAGGAAAGTATAGCCAAAGATTAAAGGGGTCGATAAAATTTCTTAAGAGTCCATATGCATAGCTAAAGGCTACATAACAAGCAACAATGCCAGATAGGAGATACTTTCTTTTGAGTTG